CCAGGGCTGCCGAGGAGCCCATCTGACAGGACTTCCTGACTCTTGGGTGTGTCAGGGAGGAGGCAGGAAGGACACCGAGTTTCTAGCAAGCACCACCAGACTGCAGGGGGTGCCTTCTCTGAGGTGGAGGGGAGGCTCTTGGATTCCATTTTGGACACGTTGAATCTGAGGGACCACCAAGACGTCTAGGAATTAGCCCAGGTTGGAATCCCTGAGCACATACTGGCAGTATTATCTGGGCAAGACTCCCTCACCCCTCTGAGCCTCAGTTTTCCCATCTGCAAAATGGAATACCTCGGCAGGTGATTGTGAAGATCCTATGTGGGAATGCATGCAATTTGCCCAACCCAGAGCTGGGCACCATGAGGAGAAGTGACTCTCTGTACTACATTCTGTCAGTTACAGGGACACACAAGACAAATTGGCTTTAACAGACAAGGGATTCACTGTTTGTAATGAAAATCTAGGGAGTAGATCTGACTTCCCCTGGCTGCATCTGGGGCTCAAACATTGTCACAGGGGATTCATGTCCCCCAGACACCTTCCTCCCACTATGGTTTACCAGCTCAGCAAATCCATTGGCAGGTGGGGTGGGTGTGGGTGTGGGAGGGATGTGTTTTTCTATAGTTCTGGCAATAAAGACTGTTCAAGGAAGATTCTGATTGGTCCGGCTTGGTCATGTGCCCACCCCAGAGCCAATCAATGTGGCCAGGCTTGGGTCACATGACTTCCCCTGTGGCCTGGCTTCCCTTAGTGACTAAGGTGGAAGCAGTACAAATAAAACCAGCTGACCTCCAGCATGTTCTCAGTCTGTCCAATGGGTGTTTCTGGGTGGCAGGAGCTGTGTATCTAAAGGTTTCTGGCACAATAGTCAAGAGGTAGAAGTAACCTAAATACCCCATGACAGGTGAGTGGACAAAGAACATGTGGGATATGCATACAACGGAATATCATTCAGCCATAAAAAGGAGAAAATCCTGACTTATGTGAACACATGGATGAGCCTGGAAGACATCATGCTGAGTGAAATAAGCTGACACAGGACAGTATACTGCGTGGTTCCGCTCCTTATGAGGCACCTAAAAGAGTCCCTGTCTTAGAACCAGAGAGTAAAATGGGGAATTGCCAAGGGCTGGGAGGAGGGAGAAATGGGGAGCCACTGGCCCAGGGGCACACGTGTCAGTTATGCCCAGTGAGCTCTGGCCTCTAATGTACAGTATGTGGTGGCAGTTAGCACTGTACTGCTGTACACTAACATTTTTGCTAAGAGGGTAGAGTTAATGTCAAACATTCTCATTACAAAAATCCTATATAATAAAGAGGTAATATGCAAATTGACAGTCACACCCTCACAAATGGCTGCCT